GACGCGCGTATCCATTTAAGACGAAAAAAAAAAAGAACTACCGAGACGATTTTTCTTATTTTTGCAAAACCGTAAAAGAAAAAAGAAAAAAATAAAAGGGGAAATTAACAATTTGTACAGAACAACAAGAATGGACAACGCGAGAAAACGGTGCAAGGAGGAAAAAAAAAAAAATTTCAAGGTCAAATGTGTGTCAGGAAAAATCAACTTCTAGAATAACGTTAGAGGTGCAGTGCATTTTTTTTATTAGTAATCCAACGTGCTGCCGAGTAATATATTCATAGCAATTTTACATTGAAATGTCACGAAAGTTGCATTAATAACCGTTCGAGAACCGAGTTTCTTCGCAACAATTGGATAAAGCTTTCAGCAATTGTATATGAGAAACTGTAGTGCTGAGATGGTTGATTGTCTTTTAAGCGCCTCTCGTTTATCACTGAGTTTTAGAGCAATTCCAACGGCACGATAATTCCGATAATTTATAAGAATTTGGGTAAAATTGTTATTTAACCCGTTATCCTTTTTAAACTCAGCACTTTTGAAGGAGCATAGCTCCGGTCCTCTGGTAAACATTTAAACGCATACGTAAAAAAAGATGTAAGAAGGGACAATGGAAAGTAGGAGAAGTTGGATGAGTCATACGGCTCGACGTGATTAAAGCTCGGTAAAAAACAGCAAAGAATTCAAAGAAGAAAAAATTGTGTTTAGACAGCTAGGATAGATCTTAGAGCTGCATGCATTTATATCGAGTTGTAACGAAAGTGTGATGGCCGTCTTTAAACTTTATGCACGAAACGTTTTGATCGCAAGTGTACCGTACCTATCTTTGCACGCTAAAAGTAGTATTATCTTTTTACGTGCGGTATACGTTCGATCAACGAATCGATATCGGTTCAAGATTCGATAGAGGTTAGGAGCTACTGATATGTTGATTGTATCTAGCATAACGTTCGACATGGGAATGAAGCTGAGTATCCCTGACCTGACAGCTAATCTGCCCTTTGATTGCTTCAAATTGTTCGTGAAAGGAAAAAAAAAAAAAAAAAAAAGAAAAAAAAAAGAAGATGGAAAGGAAAATCGATTTTAATATTCGTTTTTACATTTATAGAAATTTCAAAGATGAATCAATATATTATGTACATGTATGTATTTTTTTTTTTTTTTCTTAGAGACGGAATTTAGCACGAGATGAAAAGAATGAAACAAAAAGACAGAAACAATGAGGAGAGACATCAAGTCGTCAGCACGGTTCTCCTTTGTTCATTTTTACGTTTGTCGCCTTTAAGCGCGAAGCATTTTTTTTCTACTCTTACATCCTTCTTGTATCCCTTTTTCCCTGATCCTTATCCCTTTGCTCTCTTCCTCTTTATTCCTGAGATCCTCAAATTTTGTAAATTGTGATATAAATAAATAACAAATGTGTATAGGTACGACGTGACAACCCTATCGTGAGGAACCGTAAATTCAATGAATATTTTATTTTTCACGGGAATTCTCTCCTTTTTAACGGACTTTGTGAATATCGTGTATTATAATAATTACTAATTATATTAAATTTAAATATGATTTACGTTCTAATGCTGCTGACCTTCGATCAATATACGTTGATATTTCCCTTTCTCCTACCGTTTTAAAAATGGTTTCTACCATCTATCGACACTCCCCTCCCTTTCCCCTTCCCTATTTCCATACACATACAGGCACCATACATTTACATATACTTTCCAATTGTAAAATATGAAGATTTTTGACAAAGGAGACGCTCTAGAGGAAAGAAATCGTTTATGTTCAGATTCATCTAAAAAAATCCCTCGACCCCTTATAATTCAATCCCTTAAGATCCCTTCTACTCTTAAATAATCGCAGCCATCGCATTGAATCGCGATGATTCTTGAACGTAACTGAGACCCATTGTACATTGTATAAATGATAACGCGTTCTTTAAAGGAAGAAAAACGTCAGGAAATTGATGTTCCCAATGCGTGTGTATCTATATCTTTTCGCGCCATTTGTTTTCCTATCCTTTTACACATTTACACATTAGAAAAACATATTGTACACACCAATCATTTTTGATTGTAATATATATATCACACACGACGGTTGGAAAGAGCACCTCTCAGCTGTTTTCAATAACATCGTACTTGTTCTTTCTTATCGCAGTTTTACACTATAAAAAAAGGACACACGTAAATATATTTTTTTTCGTACCTTTTTTCCTCTCTGTGGTTCTGAAAAAAATCATCCTGATCATTTTAACGGTTAGCTTCTGTCATCGCATATGCATCAATGCATTTTGCGATATTTTCTCTGTGTTTCTAAAGTTTTGTAACGCGATAAAATTGACCATTGATCGAGATTATCAGTTTCATCGTATCTTTTCCAAAAGGATATCTTTTGTACAATTTTTCATGTACTTTTAATCCTTTTAGTGGACGTTCACATATTATTTGTGCGTAGAATTTTTATTCGTATAGAACGCATTCTTAAAGGGGTAAAAGTCGAACAAGATAAATTAGAAAAACTCGTAGCTTGTTCTTCTAAGATTTTATTACGAGAAATTTCAAGAATGGATCAGCATTTCGAATTAAAATGTTTCATCTAAATCACTTCACGAGTCGTGTGTATATAATTTGTACAAAAAAAAAAAAAAAAAAAAAAAAAGAAAAGAAAAGAAAAAGAAGAAAGACTTTCTTCTTCCCCACTGCAGAAAGAAAATTTCGTTAAGTTTTTAAATTCGACGTTCGTATGCGCGACACATTTCCCATACATATTTGTATACATCCGAAAAGAACTTCGTTGCGTGTTGCATTCTCGTAATCGATAGATAATTAAAATAAGATCGAGTTATATCTCAACTGTGTACAATGTATAATATTTTGTTAACTTAGGTGTTAAATGTGTAGAATTCTAAAAAAAAAAAGTGAAAAAATAGAGGAACAAGGAAAGAAAAGAAAGAAGGGATAACCGTAAGGCAAATCGAGGTCCGTCGCGATTTTGTATAAAAAAAAGAAATGAGAAGAAAAAAGGAAAAGAAAAGAGCATTTAAAAAAAAATAAATAAATAAAGAAGAGAAAGAACATAGCCGCTTTCTTTGTAAAATATTGTAAATAACGATTTATTAACGAAATTGACAAATTCTTAGGTACCCTTTCTCTCTTTCTCTTTCTTCTTCACGAGAGGATTATTTATACTATAATAGTGACGGGACCGGTTCAAAAATAAGATTGAAAATGCGTTTAGAAGGGAAATGCGTGAGACGCAGTACTTATTGAATCTTTGCGACGTCGATTTTTCTTGTTTGCTTTGCTGATTTTGCCCCGAATTCTCTGAACAATTCGATCGATCTGTATTGATTCTTGTGGAGAAAAAATAATAACGTACGCGGGCTACCGTTTCCCTGACTCGGATTCAATCTTTTCGGAAATCGCTGAGAGGAGGCTGCTCGTTTTAGGAGCCGTGATTAGGTAAAAAGAAAAAAAAAAAAAAAAAAAAAGAAAAAAAAAAAGAAAAAAAACGAGGATGAAAAAGAAAATTGAAAATATAATAGTTTCGCATGTACGATATAACGAAAGGAAAAACTATTCAATATATATACAGGACAGAGACATTCCAACCGCCATTTTTCACCTTCAGCCGACAGGATACATTGCCGTTGTTAAAACACGGGTTTACATAAATGCGACGTTAATATGTTACGTTATACTATTTAATAAGGGATGACTAGTTCCTTCATCCATGTAAATCGCGCGCATCATTTGTAAATTAAACGACGGAAATCAACATCTCATTCATAATAGAACCATCGATTAATCACTGTCGAGTTAGGAAAAAAATAACGCAAAAAATGAATACTATAAAGTCACACAAACAGAAGCGAAAGTTGAACGCAAAATCTCATGTCTTATTAACTAAAATTATTCATTATTATTATTATTATTATTATTATTATTATTATAATTATTATTCATTATTATTATTATTATTATTACTATTATTATTATTATTATTATTATTATTATTATTATTATAATTCTCATTCTTATTATTATTATTATTGCTATAATTATCAATATTGTTTGATTAACGATCCTCTACTGATTATTATTGCTATTACTAATGATTGCTAGATACACACTTTTATATATATATAAAAACACGAGTATGACAAGCTCACCTATATAACGCTTTATAAATATGGTACATATTAGTACGAATACATTTTTTTATGCTCCGGCTATCTCATTTTTGTCCTTCTGAAGCAAGAAAATAAAAAGAGAAAAGATTCTTTACTTTAATTAGAAAGAAAAACACTTTAGTGCGATAGGTTGATCACCTAATTGCTGTCGTGTTATATATATATATATACATCTCTACTTAAGCTTCTGAAGAATAAAAAGAAATTCATAAATGACTTTTGATTATAAATAGTGTAAATTTTTTATATAGCGCGAATATAATTATTGGTAGCGCGACTTCTACGGGATGTGCGCGTGCATTGTGTATAAAACAGAAAAAATGCGGAAAAAAGATGGAAAAATCGGAATTACACGTTCGTGGTACATATATCTTTCACACATGGTCTTTCGATCTTTTTTTTTTTTTTTTTTTTTTTTTTGAACTTCATTCTTTCACCGTTCGTTTTTTTCCTACATTACGGATTGTGCGATTTCAGATCTGTCTGTGAAATTTATGTAGCTATAGCGAATCGTACTGTGTACATTCTATTCCTTGAGAGCGTATATACTCTTTGTAAAATATGTAAAAGTGCGATACAATATTCAGTATTTCTGTACACACGGTTTGGTATGTCTTTTTGTAAATTTCTGTGCGATTATACGATTCGTCGCCGAACAATGGAAAATTTTGTTATAATAAAGGATCCGAATCGCGGAATTTGTAACGCAAATAGTATCGAACTTATTCTGGCCTGTAATGAAGCAAAAAAAAAAAAAAGTATAAAACTAGGGAGAAGAAGACCATCGACTGGTTCGTTCGTCTCTCTCTCTCTCTCTCTCTCTCTCTCTCTCTCTCTCTCTCTCTCTCTCTCTCTCGACTTAAAAGAAGCGTGTAAACTTCCAAATTCTGAAACTGAATTGGATGAAAACCATCGAAATTCGCCGCTGCACAATTCGTATCTAAGAAATTTCGCGCACGCTGAAAAATATTATCAAAGGGGCACCTTTTGTATTGTAATATCCCTGTATATAATGAATCACGTATGACAGTATTTGGTAAACAGGTGTTTTTATTTATTCAATCTAAATTTTATTAATGTGCCCTATATCCTAAATTCTTGTATAGCTATAATCGTTGGCCAGAGAGGCACAACGAAGACCTATCAATTATTCGGAATTTAGTGAAAGGTAAATTAACTATTGTTTTATATTATGGTTCTTCGAAAAACATTCGGGGCTCGATTCGAAATATACAGAGATATCATGCAACTAATATAACGGCGTTCCCACGTTGCGTTACGTATATCCCTTTGCGCTCCCTTTAAACCTTTAATATTTGTACTTTACATACAATCACCTCTTTCTCTTTCACCCTTTCTGTACCCGGACACACGCCACCTCATTCTTAAGGGTTTCTCGAGAACATCTATATAAAGAAACAAAAAATAAAATGAAATGTGAAATCAAGAAAGGGTTCCCTGTGGGAACGCGTACGATTCGAAAGAGGAAAACAATTAAGCAACCCTATAAATAATTGATTATACATATATATACATATAAATATATATATATATCTGTATATGTATACCTAAAATCTTTGAAAACTATCGATATATGATATATATGTAATAAGTACTATTTAAATATTGTAACAATTGTATATGATTTTAATACTACATGCTAATTGTATTATATATATATGAAAGATCTGCGACCTCCCACTTGTAGAACACACTCGATCGTACACACCCATCCACACTGATCTACATACACCTATACATACACATGCACACAGATACACACACATTCATATTTGCAAGTAAACGCGCGCGCGCGCGCGCGCGTGCACACAGCACACACGTAGACATTAGAGACAGATTCGTATCGGTGAACATCGTATCCGTATATACGAACGTTTAACGAAGAAGAAGCAAAGCTTCTCTCTCTTTCTTCGTTGGATGTAAGCTTGCGAATACAAATTTATAATATACACGATATATACATACAAAAGCATACATATTCGGGACACCGTGTACTTCATTTTTTCATCATCTTCGCACCCACCGGTTTCAACTGCCATGGCGCTATATTCGTTAAACGAGCAAACAGTTAATCGAATAACAAAGAAAAACGAGAATTAGAAAATTGTTTCGCGATATCCTTGGTTCACCGTTGGAGTTGGTACCCGTTCGGATTGACGAGATACGCTCGTGAACCAAGGAAGAACGAAAAGGACGTAGTAGAGTAACATCCACGGGAATGGTGCGCCCTGATATTAAGACTGATGTACAGTAGCGCGCTATTCTCATCACAGAGATATCGTCATTTTCTCATCATTTCATCATCTCACAGAGATACACGTAACACATTTTCCTCGACACGGTCACACGAAGACAACCATGGATTCGCAGGGCTAATTGAACATATATATATAAATATATATATATCGTATATATTTGTCAGATATATGTCATATATGTATGCGTACACTCGTTTGCCACGCCACTGGCTCTTACACTTGCACGCGTCGAATTGTCATGTCACTCGTGACTTTTATTATTCTGATATATTTAATCGCGTGCGTGTACATTGTTGCGAATTAAGAATCGTTCATTGATGCGAAACGTAAGAAAAAGATATCATCGGCTAAATCGTAAGGCGTTTGTAATATATACGAAGCATGTATAAGCTGTAATTGTAAATTGTTTGACGTGTTGCGTTTGCTTTGAATCGCTTGAAAAGGAGAAGTATGTGAAATTTTGTGATAGACGGTAATAACTTTTTGAAAGCTCTCTTCTTGTATTCTAGCTTCTCGTTAATTATTATCGGTTTCACAATAGCGGTTTATTCATTCGTTGAACGTAAAAAAAGAAAATAATAAAAAAATAATTGTTGTTCGATACTCGCGCGAGCAATGTACGAGCCGGTGACGGCTTTTGGGACACACGGTAGATGCAGAGGGATATAAAAAACAAGAAATATATTCCATATTAGCGGATAATTAGATAAGTGGGACGGACAGGCATACGGATTAAAACAAAAAAATTGCATAACTTGTATATTAGTGTATAGAACGTAGAAACGATGAAATAGCCACGAAAAGAATCATTTTCGACGATGTTTTTTACAAGCAGGCAGAACAGTGCGAGTAGATTAAAGATACAAACAAAAAAAAATGATAAAAAATACGTCATTGTACCATTTAAGTAAAAATTAAAAAAAGGAAAAAAGTAACGAGAGAGCATGTCAAAAAAAAGCAGTTTATAAAAAAAATGCACTAGCGACGAAAAAGAGCCACTACAAACCGCCACCCCGAAAAAAAACCCACCCATTCCTCAGTAAAAAAAAAAAAAAAAAAAAAAAAGAAAAAAAAAGAAAAAAAAAGAGCGTAGATTTTTTTAAATAATCTTATGTCGATAGTAGAACCGACATTCCGAAATTTTTCGAAAAAACAGTACGCGAAAAACGATGCACGCGAGATTTTTTACAATATAAAGGCTAAAAGAAAAACAATTCTTTGCAATAAGTTTTCAGCTTCATTCGATTATTTATTTCTTTCTTGTTTAACGAAATATTTATCGTGTTCGTTCGTTCATCAATTATCGCATTCCTGTTTATCTGTTGATCGATTCTTTGATTGGGATACACGAATTTATTTCGACTCGTGGTGGTAGCGGTTTCTTAAGATGCCCAGGTCCAAAGAGTTCTGTTTTGCGGCTTTACTTTAAACGTTCTGTCGAACCAACAACATGCAAAGCGTTTCCGCCGATATATATGTATTGTAAAACTATTTCCAGGAACGATTCACATCGTTACGGTATTATTATATACTAATTAGCGTCTTTGTCGATTGTATTTCATATTTTCTAGAACGTTAAATAAAAAAAGATTTTCGAATCTGAATATAATGTGAAAGGAGGATGTCGTGATAACTTATTACAATAAAATGAATAAAAAAAAAAAAAATGAAATCAAAAGGAATTTCTACGTTCTCTTATTCATTTTTCGATTCAACATTTTAGATCGTCATCATATGTAAATTTGGCTCTTTGGATCCAGTGCATTTCTGATTTCTTTGATTCAAATGGTTATTTCAACTTATTTCGTCGTTAGTGTTCACGGTTTTTCTTTATATTTTTGTTTTTCCTTTTATTTTCCCATTATTTTATACATCTCTTTGTATTGAATGTTGTATTTTTCGTTTATTAAAAAAAAAAATAAATAAATAAAAAAAAAATAAATAAAAAAAAAAAAAGAATATTAAAGATAAAAAATAGGAACAAACCGTATTGATATAACTGCATTTTTACAACTACAAATGCTCTCCTTTAAAAAAAATAAAGTTAAAAGCGATTGATTAATCGAATTAAATATTCTACAGTATATTTTTTAAATGGTATTTGTTTGTATTGTAAACTTTATAACTAGTAGACGCAATTAATTATTATGATAATTACATGTATGCTTTCTGTTGCTTGAGTTTTGTCTTTTTTTTCTTAATTTTTTTTCTTTTTTATATATATTCAAGGAATACCTATCTTAGAAGTTATATATATTTATTGTCATCTCCTACACCGATGATTCGAGACAATTTACGTGTAGGGCGATCTACGTTCTTGCTTTTATTGAATATTTGTTATGTTTCTTTTGAATTTTTATTAATAGAATCGTAAATAATTCAAAAAATTCTTTAAATTTTCAAAATTCCAAGATGATTATTATTCGAAAATAAAAAAATTGACATTAAAACGTAGGTAGCCATACTGGTAGTTTGTCTTGATTATTAGCATTTTACTCATTCGTAGGCATACCTAATGCATCAGATTTACACAACACTTTTACACACTTACACTCTTGAAAAAAATGATAATGAATTAACGGTATTCTAAATGTAACGTGTATATGGCTGTACAAATGTAACATTTTTTTCCATTATGTATGATGATATTATTAATGATAATGAAAAATGGGAAGATTTGATGCAAAAAATATGGTATAATTAAATTTACAAAAAGAAAAAGAACATGTGTGCACATTGATCAATACATATCCGACTGTACGAGTCGGTACGAGTATCGATCAATCGATTCACTCCCGAGTGATTTACCAATAAACTACTATTACTTTTAATTATTATAAAATACCATTTCTGTAATAACATTATGATATAAAACCATACATTGAATGGCAAAATTTCAGTGATTTGGTATCCTGCATAATTTTTTTCTCCCGTTTGCTTCCTAGATGTACCTGTATTATAAATAGTATAATATGTAAATATTACGCATTCTTTATGAGGATTACAATGAACATCTTATATCTTCAAAGGTAAAGTTTATTGTTATTGTTTATAACTTATTTGTTGGTTAGAAATTGCTGATTACGCATGAATGAGAACTGCAGAGTATGTTATATGGTAGTCTCAGGTAAAATCAAATTATTTATTGCATCTGCTATTCATTTTATGAAATAATAATCAACGTATATTCTGGAAAGTAACATATGAAAAGTTACATTATTAAAAGACTCAGCATTTTATATTCAGCATGCCAATGTGGCCGCGGGTATTTTGTAAATATTTTTTCTTTTATTCGCTCTCTTCTTTAGAACGCTCCCTTTCAGAACGTCTAGATTTCTTCTTACGCCGACTTGGACTTCGGGACCTGGATTTATGTCTACGAGACCGAGATCTCGATCGATGTCGATGTCTAAAAAGATATAGAAAGTATTGTTACACAATTTTATTATTACTTATTTATATTACAATTTTATTATTTTATTATTTTAGATAACAGAGGTATCGAGAAATGAAAGTATAAATAAATGAAAAAAATAAATTGATAAATCATAATCGTAATGAAGTAAATTGAAAATGATATTAATTTTAAATATCACATATTTTTTTAACTCCGCATTGCTTTATTACCGATCTTTGTGTCGATATTGAGATCGAGATCTATCACGATCTCTTTCTTCATCTCGTGACATTGAATCTCTTTCTCTGTCTCGTTCTCTAATCATAGAATCCTTTTCTCTTTCACGATCGCGATCTCTATCCTTATCTCTTTCTCTGTCCCTTCCCATTGAATCTAATTCTCTATCGCGATCTCTTTCTCTCTCCCGATCTCTTTCACGATCTCGAGAATCTCTAGGTGGCATTATAGGAGGAATATTTGTAGGAGGTACCATAGTTGGTATTGTTTTTGGACCAGTATCTTTTTCATCTTCCCCTTCTGTCATTGGAATAGTTAAATTTGTTGGTTGCCATGTCTGAAATGTAAAGAATAATCAAATTCTTTTAAGAAATAAAAATTAATAGTAAAATATGTAAGATGTAATATATACCGGATCGTTGCCCCATTGATTATCTTGTGTAGGCTCATAACTTTGATAATATGGATCTGTTTCAGGCATGTAAAAAGGAGCTGGTTCTCCAGGATATCCAGGAGGAGGCATATCAAATGCAGGAGGCATTCCTGCTCCTGGTGGTGGTACACTCATATCAGGAAAACCTGGTTTTCTAGAATATTCTCTCCTATCCGCAGTCATTACTTGTATCACATTTCCTTTTGGTGGAGATTTATCAAGATTTCTTCTTGAAGCTAAACCTGAACTACCAATTACATCTATTGTTCCTGCCATTTTTCTTCCTGGAGGTGGTCCTGCTCTCTTTGGTCCCATTATGCCAGAATATTTACTATTATCATTAGTAATTGCAACTTGAGGTACTCTCATACTACCTGCATTACCACTACCTCCCCCTGCATTCAATATCAAACCTACTCCAGATTCACTTCTCATTCTCTTTTGTCTTTCACAATAAGCTCTCCATGTTTCTTCATTAAAGCCATAATTAAAATAATCAGTAATATCAGCACCAGGCTGTCTCCAAGGTTTATCTTCTAATTGATCTAAATTAAACTCATGAGCAGGCATGCCATTGATAACTCCTATAGTTTCAAATTCATCTATACTAAATTTTCCTGGTTGTTTATTTAATTTATCTGGTACACCTGATGCATTTGTGAGCAATCCTCCTCTTTTAATATTGAGACTACCATATGCAGGAGTTGATTTAATATCACCAATAACAACATGTACATCATCATCGGAATCTGAATCACTAGCAGCTTCTCCATCTTCTTGACTGGAAGCTTCTCTTATTCCATTTTTGTTTATTTCCGTATTATTTTCATTTGGAATATTATTAGTTGGTGAAGATTCTTCTTCTGGTGGTTCTGCCTCTTCAGATGGCTAGAATTGAAGATAAATATTAAAAATTGAATTTAATTTCAAATCGTTTACAAATTAAATAGGTTATGTTTGTACGATAATAACGTGTATTTTGATGTGATAAAATATTTTTAAAAATATTTTTTCGAACAATGTATATAACCAATATTACAAAAGCTTAAACATTTAATATCTTACGATCATTTTTGTTAATTTTTTTCAATAAAAACTGATAATAATAGTTGAATAAAGGTTAGGAAAAATGAACCTCTGTTGGTGGATCAATAACATTTTCTGTTTTCTGATCTTCCAAGATTTCTGACTTTTCTTGTATTGTAGCAGGAATTGAATCATTTTCTTGGTTTTCTGGTTGAACGGATGTCGGTGTATATTCTTTTCCATCAGTTGAATCTCCATATAACCATTGATCCTCGTTTTCATCCGCCATTTTTCCTCTCTTCTCACTTGACAATTAAAGAATTCCGCATCTTCTGAACACGCGTAAACGATCAAAATACGAGTGCTTCATCCTGCAGGTTCACCAACTATTTGTTAATATTAAAACTAATTTTAATTTAAATCATTTAATATTTTATATTTTTTTATTAGTTCATTTTTCACATTTAAATTCTTACATTCTTTTTAATCAAATTAATAAAAAATATTTGATAAATTACATATTAACTATTATAAATCTAAAAAATTGTTCTTAAGGTGGCATTAATGTATCAAAAGATTTAATGATTTGACGTGTACAAAAGTATATAGTGAATTAGTATACCTATAACTGTTTTATTATAAGATTACAGTTAGAATGGGTGCAGATAAAAATACAGAAAATCTTGTAAGTTTAATTGTGTAATTTTAAAAAATAAATATTTAATAAAATGTATATTTCCAATATTTTAATATTATTGAAAAATTTATCGCTATGTGTCTCAGTCGTAAATATATATTAAACATGCCGCATATGGTATTTTTGAGTTCAGAGTTATATTTTAATTAAATTTTATATATTATATCAATAAATTTATATAATATATTAATGTGCATTTTTTAAAATCACTATCAATTTATATTTTATACATATTTTTATTTTTATATTATTTTTATACTATGTTTACTACTGGTATTAGATATAAAATGTTATTTAATATGCGTTATTTAAAAATATACTTTTTTTTAAATTAAATTTATTCTTTTAGGTAATCAAAATCAATAAATGGGATGGATCTGCAGTAAAGAATGCATTAGATGATGCAGTTAAGGATGTACTTACAAAAAAATACAATTATATAGAAAACTTTGCTTTACTTGATGGAAGATTAGCTCTATGTGGAATTGCTGTAACAGTAGCAATTGTTGCTCTTCTTTGTGATTATTTATATCCTTTTCCTGCATCCAAACCAGTTTTAGCTATTTGTGTTACATTATATTTCCTGTTAATAGGACTTCTTACTTTATATACAACATACAAAGAAAAGGGTATATTTGTTGTAGCTATTCAAAGGTAAATTTTATACATTACACATAATACAGTTCATTTAAAATTTTAAACTAATTTTAAAATCTTTAAATTATATCTTATATATTTTAGGGATCCTGCAGGTTTTAATCCTGATCTTATTTGGGAAGCAAGTTCATATTTAAAAAGATATGATGATAAATATAATCTTGTGCTATCTGTTAGAAGTACTGCTACAGGAAATGTGAATGAAACTAGTGTTACAAAATCTGTTGCAAATTTTATTGATGTCAATGGCGTTGTTATTCCAGAATTAATAGAAAATGTTGTGACAAATATGCATGATAGCTTAACTATTCAACGTAAAGAAAAGTAGCAGAAAGAATGATATTCAATTGAATATGATCATTATCTTTTTTTTATAATATACAAAAAATTGTTTTTTTTTTATATTTTGTGTATTTCATATTGGTGTTAAACCATTTTGAAAATAAAAGTTCAAAAATTTTAAAATTGTGTATGTATTATATAATTCATGTTTAAATACAATAGAAAAACAAATATAAATTTTTACATTACTGTTAATAGAATAAAAAATTTCTTTTCCACTTACAATACTAGTAAATTATTTACATAACTATACTTTATTTGACAATTCATTTTCAATATCACAGTTGAAATGAAATTGATAATAGCCATTGAAATAAAAAATATATATATATATATATATAAAACAATCAAGAAATAAGAAAAAAAAAAATAAAAATGATTATTAATAAATAATAGCCATTGAAAATTGTATACATACCTCTAATAATTAAGAAATAAATTGATAAAAATAAAACAGACAGATATTTAGATTACATAAATAATATATGTGAGTTATCAATGAAAAATGATAATGACTGATTGTTCCCTAAACAGGTACATTAACAAAATGTGTCATCTTCGTATTGAAGAATCGAAACTTTTTTTATGTAATATAATAAACATATATTTTTAGAAAAATTTTTGTAAAAACGAGCAACAGACAAAATATTTCAGCTAATTTAAATTCTATATAAAACTCGTTTTTTTTTTTTTTTTTTTTTTGAGAAAATAACCGTTTCCAGACCATTTATAATTATATTTTATATTAACCATGTGTTGTGTCATCTTCTACAAAATCCGCTGCTTCTTCTCGTGTTACGCATACAACGTGAGAAACTTTGTTTCTAAATTTAACACCATAAAATTTATTCGCATGTTGCAACAATTCTGGCCTGTAATATAAATAATGATTAAATAAATTAAAGGAAATAATTTTATAGGAAATAATATAAAATACCTGAAAGTTGTTGTAATAAATTGGGCATCGGAACTAAGTTCGTGAATCATATCTGCTACAGCTTTTCTGTGTTGCGCGTCTAAAGCTTGATCAATTTCATCAAACAAATAAAACGGTGCTGGATCACATTTTTGAATTGCAAATATCAATGCTAATGCTACAAGTGATTTTTGTCCACCAGATAATTGATTCATTTCTCTCATCTCAGCTCTATGACCCGTGAAAGATACTCGTATACCTACAGAAAAAAATATTAAAACAATTTATTTTTCTTTATTTATTTCTAATAATAAAAAATAAATGTGAATATTATCTTACCAACACCAATAAATCTATCAGAATCAGCAGATTCTGGTGTTGTATCATCTCCTTCATCTCCATCTGCGGTTTTCATAACCAATTGAGCATGACCTGATGGCACAAGCTTTTTAAAGACTTCACTGAAATATTTGCTTACCTAAATACAAGAAAATGATTTAAATGTTTTAATTCTAATTTCTATAAATACAAACAAAACGAAATCACATAATAAGCACAAAACAATATCAAGTTACATACTTGTTTGAATGTAAATTGAATTGCTTCACATTTACGTTGTTCAAGTACTGACATTAACTCTTTAATTTTTTCATCACCTCTATCTAATTCTTCTTTTCTTTTTACTAATTTCTCTTTTTGGTCACTAAATGACATAAATTGATCTAAAGCTTTTTTATTTACATGGCTAAAATAAAAAATAATGATATAATTTTTTTTTGAACATGTTACATTTTCTTAATTTTATTAATATTAATTTTAAAATATTAATATTAATCATTATGTATGTTATCAATATACCTATATTTTTTTAAATGATTGTTTGCTTTTTCCATTTCTTTGAACAACTGTTTGGTAGACATAACACTAAATTTGGAGTATACTTCATGACTAGGTAATGCACCAAGTTCAGTAATTTTTTGTGTACATTCTACTATTTTCTGTTGCAAAATATTCAATTTACTAGCTAGTTTTTCTAAATCTTTAGCATCGGCTTCTATTTTTTCTTGTGCTTCTTTTTCTTTAATTTTCCATTTCTCAACTTCTGCAGATTCTGCTTTTTGCTATAAAAAACTTTATATCATATATATACCAGTATTAGCGTTAATATAATTAATTAATAATTACTATACTTACTTTTTTTATAGCATTAGTTACTCTTTCATTTTGAGCTTTAAAATCTGCATTTACTTTTACTAATCTTTTTTCAATATCTGCTAATTGTGCTTTCGATGATTCTAACTGGCGTTGTCGATCTTCTACAGATATCTCCTGTAATGCTTGAACCAATTCATCTTTTCTTCTGACTAAATTATTGGTCAATAAATTTTCCAATTTATTTTTTTCAGCTTCTAATCGCATACGTTTAGCAAATGCTTCTTTATTATCTTTTGTTAAGCGTCTTATATCATCATTTAATGTATCGACTTGACGTTGATCGGCAACAGACAATTGTGCCATAAGTTCTTGATGTAATTCACTTTCTAAACCTTCTTTCGTTGCACGCATTGCTTCCAAGTTTGATGTACACTGCGCTAAACTTCTTTCTTTCGGTGTACGATATCGTTCTATTGCGCTTAATTCTTCTTTCATAAGTCGTATTTCTGCTTTCATTTTATCATACACATCCCTATAATAATAAAACGAAATTAAAAATTTTATTTTAAAAATTTTATTCATATGTAGTTAAAACATGACAAGTAAATAAATCTAAAAATAAATCTAAAATTCAATTTCGAATTTTAATTATATTAATTAATTACATAACTTACTTAGCTTTACTGTTTTTAGTTTCCGTTCTTTGCATCTCACTGACATAGGAACTAATATTTTGATCTGCTTTTCTAATTTCTTCTTTAAGAGTTGCAAATTGAGATTCAAGAGATGAAATTTGAGCTATCAATTCTGATCTAGTTTTTTGTATTTCTAATCGAGATCTTAATGTATTAAAGTATCCGCCTGTTAAAGATCCTTTTGAAGATACTTGATCACCTTCAAGTGTTACACAATCTAAACCTGATGTGCGAGCCAAATTTGTTGCAGCTTCTAAATTACGACAGATTAATGTTTTTCCAAATATATACCTATATTTATAAATTAAACATGAAAATATTCTTATTTTTATTATTGCTAAAAATTAAATATTATATTAAAAAATTGATAATTTATTTACCTTAAGGCTTTATCATATTTTTGATCATAATTTAATTGTGATATCATTGGTATAGCATCACTAGTTTCTGGATAATCTATATCTTTTACATGAAGTCGATTTAAAGGCATGAATGTTACTTCTCCTGGGAGACGTTGATTATTCATTTCTTTTAGAATTTTTGTTCCAAATTTATCAGTTTCCACAATATGATGAAATAATCGATTTCCAGCAGTTACTTCTACAGCCATATAAACACTCTTGTCGCAACTAAAATTCTCAATTACAGGTCCATAATAACTACTGACCTCATGGGCCATATCTTTACGTGTTCTAAAAAGGAAATATTATAAATATTAAATAAAAAACTTTAATATAATAATAATATTTCCAAAATATTATATAAATGTATTTAATTACCGAAATGTATCCAATACTTTTCGTACACTGTCTCGACCATTTAAAATAGGTTTTCCTGCCATAGATCGTAAACTTTGATCCGCTTTTGCCAAATCTTCTTTCAATCCAGATAAATTAAGTTGTAATACACTTTCTTGTCGATATCTATAATATAAATATAATTTATATTATACGATTAAAATCTAAATTATAAAAAGTACTATATAATAAACAAACTGTTCTTTTCGAGTAGCTTGGCACTGATCCTTTGCTTTAGTAAGTTCATAATATTGTTTATTATGTTCGTCTATTGAAGTTCGTTGTTGTTCCATTTCGCGCGTATGCTCTTCGATTTTCTTTTCTAAAGTAATTTGTTTTTCTGCATCTCGTTTTAAATCCTCACTAATTTTTCTTTGATGTTCTTCTTTATCTTTAATTTGTTTGGTAAGTTGTTTAAGTTCATTTTGTATCCATTTATCTCTTTCGTCCTAATACAAATGAATTGTTAAAATATCGTTTCTATACTTCATTTTATATTTAATTATGTTCAATACCCTGCTAGTAAATTGACTGCCACGTCCTTGTTTAGCATATAATTCTTTCCGTTTTTGCTCTTTTAATTGTAATTCACGTGTGCATTCTTCTTCAACACGCTTCATTTCTTCATACTAATAAAATATTAATCAAAATAATTATTAATTAAAAATATTTATTATTTAGCACTTCAATTATGATATAACTTACTTCGGGTTTTAATTCTTCTAATTCTGCTTCTCTTGCTGCAATATTTACTTTTAATTTTTCTAATTCTTGTTGAGCACGTTTTCGACTGTCATTATCTCCTTTTACTTCTTCCAATAAATCATTAATAGTTAATGTTAATTTGGTTTTTTCTTTTAATAATTGTTGCTGTTCAGCACTGTAAATTTCATCTTTAATTTAAAACTAGTGATCATTAAATTATTTGTACATAATTTTTCGAATATAATACCTTAATGTATCTCGTTCCTCTTTTGCAGTTTGTACTTCTTTTTTTGCTTCTTTAAGTCGTTTTGTGGCTGCTCTCACCATTTCCTGTGCAGTTTTTGCTTCAGCACACAATCTTGCTTGTTCAACACCACTATTAGCTCTAGATTTTTCTAGTTCTTCTAATTTTCTTTTATTTTCTTTGAGTTCTCTTTCATGAATTGTATATTCTAAACATCGACGCTGTTTATCCCAACATTGATATTCTTTAAGTTCTTCTTTTTCTTCTTCTAATGTTTTCAAACGTTCCTCTATAATGCAATTATTTTTTTTATTTTTAAAAATTAACAATGGAATTTAATGGAATTTAATTATATTAATAAACAGTAGTTATATATTAATATATTAATAGTATATATATATTAATAAATAACAAAATTTACCTATGGTTCTTAAAAAATCTTGAATTTTTTCTAGTTTGCCTTCAGTTTCTTTTAAAATAAATTTTGATTCTTCTCTTCTGTCATCATATACTCTAGTACCAGCTACTTCTCTTAATAATTTTAGTCTTTGAGAATCAGGTGCTGTTGCCATTTGATTTATCTATAAAATAGAATTTATTATTTTTTTTACTTTGTTTTTATAAATCATTTATAAATACACACATACCTTTCCCTGTTTTACAATATAATATGGATTTGATCTTGAAAATCCTGCTGATTCTAACAAATTCATTACATCATTTCTTGTTACTATTCTTTTATTAAGAAAATACTGATCCTTTTTTGAGCCAATTACTCTTCTTAAATATACTTCTTCTTTATCAATCTTGCAAAATAAATAATAAAATTATAAATAAATAGATATAAATGAAAAAATATTTATATAATAAATTTTATTATTACTGGTAATCTTCCATCAGAATTATCAAATATAATTTCAACATGTGCAGAAATAACTCTTGGTCCTGTGCCCTCATGCAACAAAGCTTGTCTCTGTTCAGGTCTAAGATGAGAAAATTCATCACTTAAGACAAATTGAATCGCATAAAAGAAATTACTTTTACCAGAACCATTTCTTCCAACTTGAAATAAAAAAAAACCATTTAATTAATGAATAAAATTGATTTAAGAATTTATTATATTACATTTAATAAAATAAATGTACATACCTACTACATTATGCCTTGGATCAAAGGGTTCTACGACTGTTTGTTCACGATATGATTTAAAACCTTGTATGATCACCTAATTTCAAAAAGATACATTATATAAAATATATAATTATTTCTTTATAACATTCTCTTGAATTATATATTTTATAAAAATTATAATAAAAATTCTCTTATACTAAAATTATTATTATTATATATCTCTAATCAATTAAATAAATTTAAATGTTATGCTTTTTTTACTATGTTATTTATTAATGTATATCTTGCTATGAAATCATATAATATCGTCTTAAATGTTTATACCAAATTTAAAAGAATAAAGATATAATGCACAAAATATTCTATCTTTGCGTATTCTAATATTAAATGATAGTAGCCATACTTCGAACAATACTTTGAACGAAGAGCGTCTATCAAAAGGAAATAGTAGAAATCGCGTAAAAAGAGATAGAAATTAAGAAGACATTCTAAATTTTTTTATGATACCTGTTTGATATACATGGTGCTATTAAAATTCACACGAGTAATTCTCGTGTTGACATCAAACAACACTCAACTCAGAAACTTATGTTTTTTCGTTCTCTGTCACTAAATGGAACAAAAATCTTCAACCGACTTGTTGGCACAACGACATTTGTAAAGTAATCCGCGAAGCAACGATATAATAAAATCCCTAGATTTGGGCGGGAGATGCATTTACGTGACCACCATACGTATATAAAAACACTAATTTTAATCTAAAAAATTTATTAACAAATTTATTAAATTAAATTTTATATTTATTTTTAAGTTTATATGTTTTATTATTTTATTATTTTTGTTATTTTATGTTATTATATAAGTTTTTTTTACATAATGTTCGAATATTTTATTTTATTTTTTGTTACAAAAATAATTGGCAATAACATTACAATACTGAAATTACAATAACGAAAATTTTGTTTTTATAAAAAGATATAGAATATTAAAATATGTAAATTTTATTTAATGATGAATACTCAATGCATCACTTTGAACTTCATGACTTAATTGTGTTTGTAAATTGGATAATTTATTTTTCAATGCTGCAATGCCCATCATTACTATGTTTTCAGGTTTTAAAGCTCCACTACTTTCTACATTAAAATAATATTTATTTGGTTTAGCCTCCCAATTAAATGGTGCTTCATCTGAAAGATAATTTATTTTCTTTTAATAATCAATATAAATATAAAATGCTAAAATAATATTTACATTGATCTTCTTCTAATTCACTATATTCCGATTTTGGCCACTCATCAGGTTTTGGAAATAATGTATGTCTCATAGCATTGTCAGGATCATATTCAAAGCTTACACCAGCAGTGGGATTCCATTTTGCATGTTCTTTTCCAAAACCTTTCTTTGCATATGCTCTCAATTTTAATTCTTGACCTTTTCTTAATTTTACAATTAATATTTCTGAATAAAAATATATTAATTTATATTATATGCCCTATAATAGAAATGAATATATCATTTAAAAAAATATAAACCATCTGTTTCTCCATATTCGCTTGCATCATCTTCTCTATGTCTAGATGTAACAGGAAGTACTCTTGGATCACTAGATTTAAAATCTGCAGTAGTTACATGTCGTGTTTGATCTTCTGTACATTTGACATCAAGTGTAAATTCTACACTACATTCTGGACAAAAGTCCATACACTGGCAATCTCTTGTATATTGTATTCTATCAACAACCTAAACAATTTTATCAACCTAAAAAATCTTTCTATTTTTGTTCAAAAATTTTTATTAGATATTAATTTAATTATTTACATCATCACTTATTAATGGTATCATTCCAATTCTATGTGCTAAAAATTCATCACTTAAGACAGTTGAATTAGCTTCCAATTGTATCCAATCAATAGCCATAGTAGGTGTTTCAGCAATAAAGACACGTCTCATACTATTTGCTACACTATAAATGTTAAAAAAATTAACGTAATAAATAACAAAATATAATAATTGTTACATAATATATAATAATAAATACATAATATATATAATAATAAATACATAACCTATTTTACCTTAATTCAGTGTCTTCTACTTGGAATTTTACATTTTCTTCAGTCAAATCAGAAATATGAACTGATGGTTGATTAGCATAAGGCATTTTATACGATCTTTAATGATGATATGTTATTTATACAAAAATATGTTTTATAGCAAATGTACTTTTTCACAATTCTTAAGCGATACGTTTTTTCGATTATCGTTGCAAGTTTAGGAATGGCAGCGCCATCACAAAATATTTAATATGGCAATAGTTTAAATTACTTAGAAAATGCTGAAGAATATGTGATTTTTTAAGAAATGTTAAAAAAAATTTATATAAGATATCGTGTACTTTTTATTAAAAAAAGTTCATAATACATATTGTTCGTCATGTAATACAAAAAGTAAACAAAATTGCATCAAAGTATATTTAGATGCTAAACATAATTATTTCGTGTATTTATAATTTTTTTAATTTTTAAGATTGATTTATGAATAAAGCTAAATATATAGAATAATTTGTTTAGTTTTTGTATATAATAATAAATATACGTTTGTATAAATATTAAACAATAATAAATCTAACATTTTAAATGACTATTTTTCTAAATTGTTATTTTACTTGACTCATTCTTATAATTTCGCAAAAATTATATCAATGCATATAATAAATAGTTATATTATATAATAATTATAATAAATAATAAAAATGAGATAGTATAATTCTAGTAACTTTCATAAACAATATAACATAAATATTATAGTGCTAATATTTTTATAATACGATGCTATAGTTTTTTTTATGGCACAAAACTTTTTTTAAAAATGGAAGACTGTGGTTTATGAAACACTATTTGAGTATTTTAAATCAGTTTGTGCAATGACTTTATATCGATGTTTATACAAATATATTTAAAATCCAGCATAAAGAGGAATACTAAAACATATAAGAGCTAAAAGTATTGAAAATATTTTTAACCATGTAAGTTTTTGACAGTTATTATGAAAAGAAGTAAAAATTTTACTAATGTATTTATCAAGTGATTTCAAAGTTCATCCGTAAAACGTCCGATATCTTGTAAATGATCTCCATAATCTGTAGCTTCACTACCTACAAAAGCATCATGATGATCCAAAATTTCGTCAAACGATAATCTATTATCGTGATCATCGTCAGATGCGGCAAATAAATGATCAACTTCATCGCTTGCAATTTCCCTAAAATATTTAATAATAATATTTAATAAAATATGTTTTAAAATTATCAATAAAAAAAATTTTATATGACTATTTACTTACTCATTACTTGGCACTAGCCAAGAAAGTATTTCATCAGAATCTAATCTTCCATCTCCATTTTTATCATGTTCATAATCAAATTTATCTTTCTCTATCAATAACCATTCTTTATCTTCAGCTTTAGCTCTATTTCCAATAAATTCCTGAAAGCTAATAAAACCATCTTTATCTGTGTCTTTATCATCTAGAGCTTGCTTCAAAAGAAGTGGAAACATTCTTGGTGTTTCTTCTGGATGTGTATAAGCTTTGAATTCTTCTTTATCTAAATGACCATCTTTGTTTATATCAGCAGCTTCAAATGTCTGTTTGTCATCATTAATAAGTTTATCATCTACTGCTAAATCTTCTGGATCAGTGCCATATGTATCTTGGAGAATTTCATTCCAACTGACTTTACCATCTTCATCTGTATCAGTATCTTCTAATCGATCTTGAGATTCTTCAGCAGAAAGCATGCTATTTTTTAAATAAATTTATAGTTATTTTAAATAAGATTTTAAATAAGATAATAATATTATACCTAATTATTTATACCTAAAAGAACGCAAAATCCAAGCTTTTAGTTCATTTCTTTCAATGAATTTATCATTATTCAAGTCCATCTTTGTTAATAAAATTCCTAAACGTCGTTTTGATTCTTGTGTTGGAAGTTTATCAAATTCTTCTGCTTCTTTTACACTCCCTGCACGAAATAAAATATATTTATTATTGAAACTTTGATTTCAATATGACAAATTGCAAAATGTATACCAAGAATAGCTTCATGATCAAATTCCTGATGGTGTTCTCCTCCTGCATAATGATCCATGTCTCGTGGACTAAATGCACCATCTTCTGTTCTTTCATTACTACCAGGTTTGTTATGTTGATGAGAGTGTATATGTGCGGATGCTGCATTTCCAAATGAAAATAATCCGAAAATTGTGATAACAAAGAGAAGAATTTCTACACGCGTTTGGCGTGTATCCATTGTAAGTTTCTGTAAAATTATAAGATTCAGAATAAAAATAGATAACCTCACAACATCGATAATTTGACAGATATATTATTATGTACACGATAACTGCTTTTATCGATTGTTTATTATTATGTATGTTGTATAATCGTTTTTAAAAAATCGATGTTGATAAGATTCAAATTCGATAGCATTTGATGTATTGAATACATTTCGATAGCATTTGATGCATTAAATACATTTCTTAATTGCAAAATAATGTATTTAAATGTAAAATATTCGTACAAGTTACATGAAATTATAATATAAATATAATATATATGAATTTATTTTTACATTATGCTATCGTATATAATAGAAATCAAAAACTTTTTCCACAAAGTTTGATTAGAAAATGACAATATTAAAAAATTATGGTAATAATAACAATATAATATCAATGATCGTGCAAAAGATTTTATATGATTTCTAATTTATTATATTGTATATTAAATAATTTTATAACTTACTTATTGATAAATCTTTTAAAGTTGTCTAGTCATTGTAATACAGCCTTTTTTCGAAAATATTAAATACAAAAATTTTAAATTTGTTTCTCAAATTCACTTTTTGATAATGAGAAAACTTCTCTTCTGTTAAGGTATCAGTGATATATATGCGAATATTAATATTGGAATATCAAAGCTTACTACTTTTCACTTTGAAAAGAAACAAAGAAAAAAAAAGGTGTCGAGTCTTCTTTAGTCACGAACAGTATGTGCGATCATGATTTTGTTCTAGGATGTGTGTTTAAAAATAGACTAACCATATTAACACGCATTCAATTTAATTCTAACTTTAGTGAACACGAAGCAAGTGATATAGTAGAAAGTAGAGAAAGAGAAGCTGGGACTAAAGCATCACAGAAAAAGTATTTTCAGATTCTGATAATGTTGCGAAGATGTAAAAGGAAAGTACACACTTTCAACTATATACATACAACTACTACGTACATATATTCTTACAAACTAATTTTGTAACTAACTAGAATATTGATTTTATTATAATAAGAGAATAATTTTATTAAAAGTCATTTGAAGCTTCAGATAATTAAAATTTTTTCAATAAACTTCTTAAACTGTCTTTACACAAATTATTTTTTCTTTTACGAAAAAGATTTTATAACCTATTTTCTATAGGTTCTATAGATTTATATACATTCATATAAAATATATGTATATGTGACATATAAAAAAAAGAACAAGACAAAAATAAATGAAACAAAAGATAGAAAAAGCAAATAGTAGAAGAGTAAAAATATTACTACTTAACTAATAATGCCATCTCTTTCAAAAGTGCTCAAATTTATAATATATTATTTACTAATAGCAAAATAAACTTCTTTATAATCTTATTAATTTTTCCATATATAGCAGGAAATTTATATCTTTATACATATAATTATATATCTTATACATATAAATTAATTTTGTTATATATCTATATATTTTTATATATAATTTTTATATAAATGAAAAAAAACATATATATAAATATTTCTTTTTTTTTTTTTGTTATACTTTATTTTCTATATTTTTCATACTCAAATAACTTTTAAACTATATAATGTTTCATTTTTGAATTTTGTATTAATTACTAAATATATTTCGCCGATAAGTTAGACAGCGATTAAAAGGTTTTCTTGATCAATGCCATCTAGTATTTGAACACCTGAAGCTTCGACTTAGTATTAGAATGTGCAAATATTTAAATTCGTGTGACGTCATAAATAAATAGAGCAATATTGTATGAGATAGAGAATCTCTTGTCAATTTGAAGATGTCATATAAAAAATTCATTAATTATTCATTTTTTATTTACAATGTCGGCACTTTCGAGATCGTATTTTGAAATTGGAACTTTAGATAACTTTCTCATATTAATTTTAATATGAAATTCTTTTTCATTATATTATTTATTAACGATTAATGCATTATCTAATACATCGAAGACACTATATGAAAATTAATTAATCATTTAATTTCTACAATTTTACAAAATTATTGCATTTTATATGAAGCTAGAATTTTAGCTAAACTTTTTATATCATGAAATTCTTAATTAATTATTTATTAATGATTCACATAATATCATAATCCTCTTGTTTATACAATTTTTACATTAAGAGAGAAAAAAATAGTAATGTAAATCAAGATAATAATAGTAATCAAATGAAACATATATTATGTACAAAACATATGTAATCATAGAGAGCGTAAGAAATATTTTTTTTCGAGGTCGGTATTTCAGAACATGAGATACGAATAAGAATATGTGATATTATTTTCATTATCGGGCATAAATTCTGCGTAATAGTTATATGTCTGTACCATGAACGATGAAATTATTCCGTGATTATTATCATAATGTTGCAATTTCATATGATCACATAATTCTTCGTGATCTATCGGTGGATATAATTGTCGATAACTTACCTCTTCGGTCCTCCTCTACCTTTCAAAGATCTCGGACGATAAAACAATTCTCGGACAATTCGTACCCTTGGTTAATAACATAGAGATTCATTATTGGAGGACAATTTTGCATTGTCCACTGTCGTCATTAATACAGACCGCGAACGAGGCGTGTTAACAATTAATTTCGCGTTGGCGAAAATTTATTCTGTTCTCGTTATGCTTTCCGACGTGTGTTCTTCCTTTTATGATGCTAATTGTCAGAACGTTATTGTTCGCGAGTACGTAAAATACAATCGAACGATAAAATTTGTTAAACATCGCCGGTCAGCGAAATATTTCAATTTTCTCTATGGAGGCATGTAATGCGGATACTGTAAAATATCATCGGGTTTTCGCGATTTCCCGCCGCAACCGTATTTTTCCAATTTTCGAACCGTCGGCTTTTTTGCATTTGTACAGCCAATTTTCGAGTTTATATTGTTTTTGCAATTATTCGGTTGAAGAGCACAAAAAAAAAAATCGCATAAGATATTTTCACATCTTCTTTTTTTTTGCCTGTCTGTGACAAAAATGATATGGAGATTGGTAAAAGGGCGATCGGTCAGAACTGATTGGTGAGACGGAAATGTGACTGTTTTTGACCGATTTTGAGATCAAAGCGAGAGATCATCCCTTAGAGATTCGCAAATTGTCCCTCATTCTCGAATTTTCCTTCTAAAAATATTCCGAAATGTTAATCAAGTTAACATTTACTTTCGCAAGCATTTACTTACATTAACAATTATTCCACGAATATCATCAAGTTCATTCGCTCGCGAGAAAATTCAAACGTTCACAAACGTAACCCCCGCATCTTGGGGGTGAACGATGTAATACCCAAAGGAGAAGCCGTTGAATTCGATATTCGATCGACTCTAACGAATCCCGCCGTTCGACGGAGTTCCTCAAGATATTTTCGATTCCATTGGAATATTTCAGCGCAGAGAACGCAGACGCTTGTGATTTTTCCCAATAGTTGAAACGGGGATGGTTGAAACAGCCACCGAAACCATTCCTTCTGACATTCAAATGCTTGGTGCACGAACGGATAAAAGGATACGTAGAACACCGACGCCGCCTATTCATCGCTCAAAGGGATCATTTATCAACATATTTGATATGCTCCTTCCCGCGTTATCCCTCTCCCTCCCAGTTCGAGGAACGCTCTTCTCTTTCCCCAACATCCATAGAAATAATATGCTAATCGCGCGAAGGCGGAGTTTAAAAAGTGGTCCGATAAATTCTCCGGACTTTTTGACGTAATTTCGCCCCTTCGCGCCACCGCCACCAAAGATTCTTTTTGCGCGGTTTCCGACGTCTTAAGAGAAGTTCGCTTCTCCACCACGGTATATCAGCCGGTTGAATATATATTTTTTCGCCGGATCCCGGCCGGATGTCGCGACCTGTTTCGCTGGGAAAGGATTCTAACTTCGCTTCCTCTCCCGAGGAAATCGCAAAAAGACGTTTTGCTCTCGTATCTCGCTGGTCGTTAATTCTGCGTCTCTTCCTCGAGAGGAAGTAAGCAGTAAGTAGTAGTTGTTCAAGAACTACGTAGAGATCCTTTCGTCGTTATCGAGATCGTTCCGATCGTGCGAGGCTCAAGACCGCCGTAAGTGATTGACACGAGACGTTAAGATCATTTACAAATCCCCTCATCGCCACTTATGCGCGCGGTGACGCATACGCACATATTTATGCACCCCTGCCCCTTATACGCGGCGTGGCCTCATACATACATCGGTCATATTAGCCGCAAAGTGGAATACTCCGGGGATGATAGTTCCGTTTGTTTAAGTTCGAAAAATCTGTCCTCTCGATTTCGAGAAATTTCGAGACAACAATTTCGTTATAATGTATTCGTTTAATCGCGAATAATAATTTTATATTCGAGTCGTTGTATCTTAGGCAGAAATTCGTTCGTTCGCGAGGCGGCATTCGAAAAAGATATTCCAATTAAGCGATATCGTCGATAAAAGCGTTACGGCATATTCTTTATCTCTCTTTNTTTTTTTTTTTTTTTTTTTTTTTTTTTTTTCAATCGTCCTTTTTATCCCATTCCATACCGCGTATCGCGAACGCGATGACATCGAGCTAATCCCTCGGTCATTCAATTCCGAAACGCCACGTCAGCGGGACACTTTCAAGCATATTGAGGCTGGATCGTGTACCCGGTCGCCATTTGCTTTAAGCCCTCCTTTCCATATTTATCTTGGTCTCCTTCATTACGGATGGAATGGAGGAGGGGTGGTGGGGCACTCTCCTTTTCCTCCTCTTTCCTTTTTATCGTTCGGTATCCTCGGGATTATCGGCCTATTCGGCCACCAACGAATTTCGGCCATCACCGTTCTATTCGAAATGAACACGCAGATTGGTTCCCGGTGGCGGGAGGAAATTTACGAGCCAGGATGATAAACTCTCAGAAAGTATAATCGAACGGGTTTCATAATAATTTCCAGGGAGAGCCATTTGCTCTTTTCGATTCTTTCGTCGGAGGTTGGATACGAAAGAAACGAAAGGAAATATCACGAAGGAATCGTATACTTATATCCTTTCGTGCGTATCGATCACTTTTAAGAAGAAAGAGATTCTCGAGGAGTGGAATTGTTCGTCGTTGTCATCGTCGTCGTTCGATTGGTGGGAGAACGAAGCGGAAACGATGGAATTGTTGTACGACGAAATATTTCGAGGCGTTTCGCAGGATCGTAAGGGGTGTTCGACGTTTCCGTGGCGCGGCCGTCTCGGCCATACGCCCCGCGATTTAAGTCGTCAACTTTTATGGGGGTAGTTTTCGCGGAGACGGTCCGCGGCAAGCCGCATAAAAGGGGGTGGAAGTTTCTGGTAATATGGCGGCTTCCCGCGGAATATGGCGGCAACTGTATACAAGAGATAGCGACAATATTGAAGCGACGGGAACCTCGCGAAGAAAACCGACTGGATTTTGGCTCTAGTTCCTTCCGATCTCGGGTCACTGGCCTTCTTTTCTCTCCACTTCTTTTCTTTTCCTTCGAATACCCCTTCGTTTCGAACCACGAAGATTAACAATAAAGCAACAAGGGAATATCGGGAAGAATCGATAAAGGAACCGATCGATGTTAGAGTTAAGAATTTAAAAAAAAAAAAAAAAAATCGAAGAAAACCGTAACTTCCCCGTCATCGTCAATTTGAACTTAGATTTTCTCCTCCTCCGTTTGATATATAAAATTATTTCCCCCCCAAAATAATTACATCCTCTTTGAACGATTTTATCCCTTCGAGAGGAGATCCAGATTCTCAGATCGGTGGCTCAGCGGTTGCCGATTGCGCGGATTAAGAGAAAGACTGCACTCGTTCGAAGGCCGCTGATTGCATCTGGCATTTGTGTCACGCCCTTGAGTGCCCAGTCGATATGCCTGGACAAATTGGGAATTGGTATTCAGCTCGTGGCCGCGGCGACGGCCAGACGGATTTGCGAAGGAGCACCACCACCACCAGGATTGAAGGAGAATCTCCGGCAACAGTCTTCTCTCGCGCTCGAGGGGGCCCCCTCGATCGAAGGCTGACCCGCGTGGATCCGTTAAACTTGGTCAAATCGCTTCCCGACGATCACCTCGCACC